TTTCCTTTTAATTTGTTATACCTTTCTATTTGCATTTCTTCTTTTGAGTTCTTATACTAGGGAAACTATACGGTATTTACACATGTTGTCTGGTTTATTTCACTTATGAGTATATGTTCAAGTGGCATCCACTTCAATATAAAGGCTTTGAGTTTATCATTCTTTATAGATGAGTAATAGTCCATTGTATAAAAATATCACATCTTTTTCATCCATTCTTCAGGTGATAGACATCTTGTCTGTTTCCAAGATTTGGCTATCACAAATTGTGCTGCTATAAACATAGGTACACATATATCACTATGATATCATGTTTTCAGATCCTCTGGGAAAATTTCCAGTAGGGGACAGCTGGCTTGAATGGGATTTCCAGTCCTAGTTTTTTAAGGAGTCTGTACACTGATTTCCATAACTGAGTGTCCCAAGAACACAGCAGAAGTTCTCATTCACTTGGCAGGCTTGGGGGAGGCTGTGGAGTGGTGAGGGTGTCCCAAGAACGTGGAAGAAGGTCTCACTCAAGTTGTGCCTGGGTTTGGACAGAAATGGTCCCGTGGGCTCAGGGTAGCCAGAAGCCCTCCCATACACAGTCTACTGTAATTCTGATGGGCCTTACTTTATATGTGATGTTCTTTTCTTTAACAACTTTTAATATTCTGTTCTTATGCTGAATTTCTGGGATTTTAATTATATGTCTAGGTATAGATTTATTTTGATTACGGTGAATTGAGAGTTATACATGCCTCACTTAACTATGTCAGATTCTTTTCCTATGCTTAGGAAATTTTTTGCTATTACTTCTACAAATAGTTTTGTTTTTTTTTTTTAGCAAAGTAACATGAATTTCACAGTATTTGTTGTAATACAGTCTGTCTTCCAACCAGTTATTCATATTACCAGATATACACATGTAAAATTGGAAAGAAAAAGAAAAAAGGAAGGGGAGGGAGGGAGGGGGAGAAAGAGAGAGAGAACGAGAGAACGAGAATAGGGGAGCTACACTCACCTGCTTCTATTCCATGTGTCTTAGTCTCCAAGTACAGGACTGGTTCACCTAACTTACCACCTATTGGTTTATATTATTATTGTTGCTTTGGACTTTTCATATCACTCATCCGCCGGTCTATCTTTGAGCTCTAGTTGGGCCCCTACAGTGTCACTCACATTCCCTCTGGTCTCTGGAATTTCTCAATTAGTTCACCTTGGTCATGGCAGCAGGGAGGGGAACAGCAATTCTCTGGGCCTTCTGGTGCAGCTCATCTGGGTTCCCCCAGTGCATATAACAATGGAAGGGGTCCTTAAGCATTGTTAATAACAGTTTGTAGCAGGAAGATGACTAAGGAAAAATAATGGTCTGCATTTGCATGAACCTGTGGCTTTCTCATTAGATTTTGACCCAATCAAGTGAGCTAATGGGCCTATTTTTACAAATACAAATCATTTATTTTGCCTTGATTATACCTCACCCAAATAAACTGTGAATATATATTTACATAGCACTACCATCAGTTATAGGTGTCATTTAATGAAAATAAAAGCGAGCTAATATACCTTTTTTTAAATAGCTGGTGTTATTATAAGTAGTCTCACTGGGCACCCACCTAACAATTAATGTGATCGTCATGATCACCATCTTGTTTTTTAGGACACAGCATAATAGTGTAGAAAGAACCTCAGCTTTGGATTATAAAGTTCCTGTTTCAAACGTCACCTCAGATGTATTGGTTGTATGACCACTGCCACTGTAAAGTAGGAAATCATCTCAGAAATATGTTCAGGGTTAAATGCAGTGATATAAAGCACTTCATACAACGTAGGGCCCCTCGAATAAAAGCTGCCTTTTTAGCACTCTTATTTTTAAAATGAATTACATGAATCTGCCAGTTAATACTATAGAAGTAGAAAAGAGTTGGTCTGAATACAAGAAGAACATAAAAAGCCAAGCCCTGCACTCTGATACAGAGGTCAGAATAAATGTAACAATCTTCAGCTTACTACAAGTAGTCTGGTAAAAGTATCAGAATTTAGCTGTTCTCTCCAGCCTTGAATATAGAGATGTTAGCCAAATTCCAAATATTCATTTATGAATGAACTTCTAAATACAACTTTAAATTTTCAAGACTGATTACAGACGGAAAGTAGCTTTGGCATTCATAAATGAGATGGAGTTTACAAGTAAATAAATTTCCTTATTTGGTAATGTAAACAAAATGCAAGTTAGACAAGATAAATATTTATTTTCTGATTAATAGTGCTATGTTATTCAAAGATTTAAGAAACGTTTGGTAACCCATAATATTTAAGTGATTTTTTTAAGTTTTAGCATTATTTCTATTAACGAGTCAAGAATAACTGAAAATAGAAGAGAATATATTAAAATATTATACAATTGTTAGTATGCATTTTTGTATTTCATATTAAATATATATTTTACAAATAAAAATTACAAGACTCCTATATGAAAAAAGTTCCTATCTTATAAAGAATTTAAGCAAATCATTCAAACGTATCAATCATAGCATCCTATTGCCCAAATTATACGGGGTACAGAGTATCTTTTTTCTTTTTCTTTTTTTTTTTTTTTTTTGGCAGAACTAGGGATTGAACTCAGGCCCTTGTGCTTGCCAGGGAAATACTTTATTCTACTCAGCCATCTCCCTAGTTCCTAGAGTATCTTTTTTCTACCAGGCAGAAAATCTAAATATCATTTATTTGTAGTTTAATTTTATTGACATACTTGAATACTTCAAGCAGTAATACAAGTATTTTCTTACAAAAAAAATTGTATTAGTAATTGTACAAGTTTTTGTCTTTTATATCATTGTAAATTGTCTTTCCTAGTTTTCTGAGTCATGTGACAATAAGCACAATTAATGACTATGTCAGCAAGTTCAGAAAAAAATAAAAATGGTAACTGATCTTCTAAACTTTAGTAATTTAGTTTTTTCTCAGGTTACTTATCTTCTAGGCAAATAAAAGTTAATGTTACAGAAAAATATCTTGGTTAGTCTGCCTTTTTTTCATGGGCATCAAAATAACACTAATAAATTTTCATATTTTCATTCTATAAACAATCTTGTAAAACTAATTTATAAACTAAGGATTAAGCAAAAGAAGAAAGAAAATTTATAAGCAAAGAATTCCTCAAAAATAGTATCTCTGGCATCACATGCTGTGCAGGCCCTACCGGGCGTGCTGAGCCAGGGACTGAGTCCAAGCGTGGTGGCACACAACTGTAATCCCAGGGCTGCGGAGGCTGAGAACAGGAGGATCACTGCGAGTCCGAGCTGCACAGTGAGACCCTATACCAAATACATTAAATAAATAAATAATGATAACAATACTAATAAGTAAACTATATTTACATGATCAAGACTAGTGTAAATGTCAACATCTTCTTTCATTGGCACCTTTCTCCCTTTCCACATTATTCCACCTCCAGATATCAAAAAGAAGCAACAGCCAGTAAATATAAAAAGGATACAAGAAAAGGGCACAGCCTACTTAATCATTCTCAACACAAATTAAAACCTATCAATTTGGTAAACATACTCAAAATTGACAAGAATACCTAAGACACTCCTAGAGCTAAAAACATTATTTTACTTTTTTAAAGAGCACAAAATATTCAAACAAAAAATTACAAATGATATAGAATTTCACTAAACAAAATAATATGAATTTCACAGTATTTACTGTATTGCATAGTGTTGCCTTCAAATTAGCTGTTCATATTATCACATATATGCATGCAAAATTAGAAGAAGAAAAAATGTAAGAAATTAAATAGAAAGAGGAAAAAGAATTGAGAAAAGAAAAAAATTAACTGTGTATGCAAATATATATATTTCTTTTATTTAGGTAGGGTCAAATTTTCTTTTCTTTTAAAACTGCATCAACTTCTTTTGTCATCAGCAGCAACCCTGGTTCCTCATCCCTTCCTCCTCATCAATACAGGATATTAGTGAATTCTTTAATCTTTACTAATTTCAGAGGTAAAAGAAAAATGGCATCTCACTGGAATTTTAATTTTACTTTTATAAACAAGAAGGTCAATCATCTTTCTATGACTTTATTGGATATCTGATTTTTCCTACAAATTTATTTTGTATAGTCTATATCTTATTTTCTGAGTTATTCCTAAGAAAAATATTTAATATTTTAATCAATGCATTTGATGAAGTGAATGTTTCATTATCATATTTATAAACTTATTTTAGTTGGCAATCTGCACCCTACAAAAAAAGGTTGTTCCTTCCTGTAGATATTTAATTTCATTCCCTTTAACCCACTTTCACCTAATGGACCTGAGAATGATGAATGTGCTAGAGAATTTCCTGTCTTAAAATATTCTAAATTCAGCTTTTTAGAAAATAAAATTTTGGCATCTTAGCTATGAATGACTACTAGAAAGACAACAATATGCAATGTATTAATTGTTGTAACTCTGCTACCAAAAAAATAAATAAATAAATAAATAAAAATAAAAATTACTTAAAAGAAAATCAAATTTAGATAGGCAAGTAGGAAGCAAATGAAACTAAGAAAACAGCACATTGAGCCGGGTACAGGAGCATTAGGCCTGTACCCAGCATTCTAAAAGGCTGGCACAGGAGGATCGACACACAGTTCAAGCACAGGCTGGACAACTCAACAACTTAATGAGACCCTGTCTCAAAATTTATAAATCCCAAAAGGGGCAGGGAATGTAGGTCAGTGTGAAGGGCTAGGATATTTAACTCCTAATATTAAAAAAAAAAAAAATGACAAGCAATATTAATCTTTGACTGACATTTTGGAACCATTAATTTTCTCTGACATTTCTCCTTTTAGTACTATACCAAGAAGACTTTTCCAAGAACAGGGGAAGCAAAATTCTAAATTAACTCTGTCTAGAAGAGAGCACTGTTTACCATTAACAAGCTACTCTATTTCTACTTTAAAAATCTATTTTGCATAACTCTGGCATACACAGTACAGGCTAGAGAGGATTAAAAACTCACCTGATCAATGTAAAAAGCTGTTCCTGAACGGATCTCCCGTCGCTGTTTGAGATCAGTTTCAGTGGTGTCCCTGGACAGAGCAATATATTCAACCTCCTGTTTGGTCAGTTCCTATAAAGCAGAGATAAGTTACTTCAAAACTAAAGTCAAAGAACCAATATATGACTTGCAGAAAATTATCTGGTGGTGCCACTGTCCTAGAGACCAATATTTGCATATAATTCTGGATTAAAACCTTTTCAATCATAGGTTTGAGAAAAATGCTGTGAGTTGAATGTTAATCAAGTTTTCTATCTCCTTAGAGCTCTACATATACTCCACTGAATCCTACTACTGAAGAAAGAACAATAAAAATTAGACCTTTAAAATCTTAATTTCAGGGCCAGCCAAATAACTCAGTGGACTAAAGTGCCTGCTTACACAGGTGCAGGGACTGGGGTTCGATTCCTTACATGCCATGCTGGCCCCACCCCTGGGGCATGCTGCGACAGCTACTAAGATGGGGCATGGTGGCATGCACTTTTAATCCCAGGGCTTGGTAGGCTAAAAACAGGAGGATTTCTACAAGTCTGATCTGTGTAGTGAAAACCTTTACATAAAAAAATTTTAAAAAGAAAAAAATCTTAATTTCTCCTGTAGAATTTTTTTATTTTTACTAATAATCTGGCATAGTATAACTAATACTTTGGTTTTTTACTTAGGAATTTCTGTAAGCAAAGTTTATCTTTTTTTACTAAAGGCAGTTTAAATCAACTTATACCAATGACCATATTTACCAAATGTTTACAGTACACTAAGTACTTTACCAAATGTGGACAAAATGTAAATGCCAAGAGTTGGGCCAAGAGAATACAGATACACACGCAGAGTTAAAGAAGAAGGAAAAAGAAAAAGAGACGAAGATGGAGGAAAAGGAAGAGGGAACAAAAGAATGAGAATGAAGAAGGAAAAATATTATTTTTCTACACACAAAAATTATGTGATTTCAAGGAAAACCATCCAGAATCTATTTCTTTCAAAAGAATTTAACCATTCTCTAAAGTTACTTTGTCCTACATTTAACAGCTATGTGAAAAAATTAATATTGTCTTCAACTGTATGATGTTAAGTGCCATGTTATTCTCCAACCAAGTATGACATATTAATAAGCATCTAATTAAACAGAGAAAACAATTTAATTTATTAAAAAATACAAGAAAAAATGTTGTGTAGGCTAACAGGAAAATTTCACACATGAACACTTTTCCTGCATTTTAACCATTTTAGTTTGATAAATAATTATTGCCATTCAGTATTTTTAAATATTTGTTCCCATGTTGCCATCAGTTTATTTATGCATAGAAAGGAGGAAAATATTTTAAATAGCAAATATATAGGGTCTAGTGGTGAAGATCTGGTAACACTGATGCTTTGCTAAATATAATGAATTGTTCGTGAGAGCCAATTTTGGAATAAAGAGCACTCTTTTTAGCAGAGACCTCCTTCCTGCTTCATAACACTTCATTAGCACCTTCGTCTCTTGTCTTTAGTTGGCTGATTTGCTCCCCTCCCTGAATACCCTGTCATTCACAATGGTTGCCAAAGCCCCTTAACGTTACACTGCCCCACGGTAAAGGCTTGTGCTGCCAACACTGAGGACAGTGTTACCATCACTCTCAGTGGCCACAACTTCCTTGGACTCTAGCGCCAATAACTTGGATACTGCTGCATGAAAAAGGAACAAACAAACTTGCATACTGAACCAGGTAGATGTGGCAGGGATCTGTTGCTTTTTGTTTGTTTGTGAATAATCTACAAACTTCTTTTTACATATCAAATAAAGACAACTATTACATAATTTCTTTTAGTCTAGTTTCTCTTTGCTGTAGTAGGCTTCTCACCAAATTTCTGTTGATTTGTTTTGTTTGGTGGTAGTGAGGGTTGAACCCCATCAGTGACATTCCCAGCTCTTCTTCCTCCTCTTCTTCCTTCTCTCCTACTTTTTTTAAATATTGAGGCAACATAGACTTCATGTGCATAGACTTATGTTTTCAACTATCAAGCCCCATATAAGGTCCTAGCCCTTCTCATTTCACAATTTAACATGCTTCAAAGTCTCACCAGAAACAAAGTCTCAGTAAGATATTGGGGTCTTTAAAATAAGCAAGACATAGACCACACAAGTAAAAATCAAAGAAGTTCTAGCCCTCAGGTTCTCAGTAACTCAGTCCCCATTTGTAGACAAAATAGTTTTTCCTTTTGTTTTAAAAGTGAAGATGATGCTACAAAGGCATATAACTCACAGACTAGTTCTAGAGACAAATAAAAGATACAAAAGGTACAGTTAGTGGGAAATAGCCTTTGATTTGTATATTACATTTTTATCATTCCTACTCTATAAGTTCTTTAAAGTACCAAAGTAAATGCACCATTTAAACAGAAGAGCATATAAAGTAGATTTCTTTTCTTTAAAGTAGATTCCAATAGTATAGAAATCAATCCTTTAAAACCAAACAATAAAAGAAGTTTTAACAAGTTTTCTCCTCCTACTAAGAAATTTCTTCAGAACACCACTTCATCTGATGGTGTTCTTCCTTGAATTACTAGAGCAATGGCTATTAATGCCTAAAAATAGTAGAAAAGTCTTGTAAACTTTCTTATATGGGTTGGACTGTGAACATTTCAATTTACTTAACAACAGCTCTCAAAGAACTGCTAGCATTTTGAAGCTAATATGTCAGAAAAGGAAAACAACATGATATTTGAAGTCTAATGCCATCATTTATTGGCTAGGTAAGGATTGAGTTATTTAACCTCACTTAATTTCTTTTCTCATCTATTTAAAGAAAAAAAAGCAGAACATGCAACATTAAACAAATGCTCTATAAACTATAGGCTCTCTAAAAGATTTTATGACCTCAGAGACATGGGAATTATTTGTTTTTTAAAATGGGAGCCTGAAATAAAGAAAAGTTCACGCAGTTGTATCAAACTAAGTTTTGCTTTGTAATTTCAAGGTTGCTGATTCCAGCTACCACTCATTGCCTGAATGTGTATTTCCTTTCTACTGGAAGTAAAGAACTTTCTAGTGACAGCAAAATACAGCAAAAGCTATGAAAGGCAAATGTTCATTTTGCTTTCCAGACAACTTCTGCTACACCCTTTATAAACAAATCACCTTTGATGTTAGCATTTATTTCAAGTAGTGAATAATTTTGACATTGTCATACATTTTGAAACTTTATTTAATTACATAGCTTATCAAAGACAAGATCCTTAGGAATTGACAAGAATTGATTGCTCACCAAGTACTGCATAGCAATAGAGCGTCGAAGAGGCCCAGGAGGTCCAATTAAAAAAATATCTTGCCCCAAAAGATCCTTCTGCATTATCCATCTCAGATGCTGAACCATAGATTGAGCTAGAGGTTCTGAAACTTTGAAGAAAAAGAAGAAAAAAGGAAATGCAAATTGAATGATTATGAAAAATACGAATCTTAAAGCAATGCAGACTATGTGTCTTAAAATACATGTGTACATACACGCAAAGAGTAAGAGCGAGAGCAAGAGAGACTGTCTGACTCTATATACCTGGTCAACTTTTACTGTTTCACAAAAGAATTACATTGCTATTATCAATCCCAAGAATAAAGGCATGGAATTATTTAAAGCTGGAACTCTGGGATGTGTGCATGATCCTGTGAATGCTAATGGGAGTGATCTCCACTTTATCATGATACTCAATTTTGTCTTATGAACCACTGGCCTCAGAAAGAGCTGACGAGTTTCAACAGCCCCTTCATTTCGTCTTTCCACTTGACATTGGCTGTCAAGCAGTGATAATATAGCTTGCACCTTATGCCTGCCAGAGGCATTTGGAAATGATTGGGAAACTTCAGGTGTGTAAAGCTTTGTGGAAATGAGAGATAATTTGGTACACTACAAAGAATATTGGTGTTAAATATAATGTCTAAGACATTTCTTCCCTGCCAGTGAGAAAGCCTATGTAGACACATTTGCTCCTCAAGGGCTCTGTTGTTTTCACATACAAGTTATTTTATGGGGCGTTTTTGTTTGTTTTGCATTACAAAGAAGCTATTTTGAATTAGCCATAATTAAGCCCAGAGAAAGAGGTCCTCTCAGCTTCCCCTTTCTTCTGCAGAATGAAACTTGTAGGGAGGCAAGTCAGTAACAAAAACGTTCTTCCTTTATTATAAACCCACTGAAGATATGAGGATCTGGAAGGCTGACACCATCACCACATTTCAATTCTGTGTGGCTTCTGAGTATCATGGGTGACCATGTCATGTGTGGCAAACCTTTGCAAAAACCACACTGTACCATTAATTTTTATCCTCCTTAAATAGTGGTACTAATTATGTTCATAATGTATTGCATTCCCATCCTGTAACAGGTGAAAATAAAAATGATTTTTCTACTGTATCACATTTAGATCTCAGTTACTGTGGGAGGCAGCAGACAATCCATGGGCACACTCAATAACCAGACTGTCTGGGCTCAAGTCCCATCTCGGATATTTACTAGCTACATCACTTTAAGCAAGTTATCTGAACATGTTCAGCTTCCTAATCTGCATAATGGATATAACAATCATGCTTATATGGGCTGGGGACATAGCTCAGTAGCTTAAGTGCCTGCCTGCCTGAGTTCAATCCCAGAACAAAAAAAAAAAAAAAAAAATATAGAGTTGTTGTAAAAATTAAACACCTAGAGACGCAGTCCTACCCCAGGCCCAGTGAGTGTGTGGGACAGCTTCCCGATACCCTGCGCCAGCGGGACCTACTACTGGTACTGGCAGGCGCAGTGTGGGTGAGACCCTCTTCCACCCCCTTAGGACGCCCCCCACCACTCCACAGCACCTCCCCACCCAGCCCACCAAGTAGGAATTTCTGCCACGTTCCAGGAACCCCCAGACCCAGTCCTAGCCCAGGCCCAGTGAGTGTGTGGGAGAGCTTCCTGCTACCCTTCGCCTGCAGGACCTACTACTGGTCCCAGCACAGGCGCAGAATGAGTGAGACCCTCTTCGACCCCCTTGGAATGCCACCCACCTCTCCGCAGCACCTCCACCACCCCGCCCACTGAGTAGGAATTTCTGCCACGTTCCGGGAACCCCCAGACCCAGTCCTAGCCCAGGTCCGGTGAGTGTGTGGGAGAGCTGCCTCTCCCCCTTAATCCACCTTGTCCCCTCCAAGCTCAGCTCAGGCCTGGCATATAGGCCTGGGGTGAAACCCTGCAGCTGCAATCCCTGCAGATAGTGTAGAGGAGAGAACCACCCAGCTAGTCCAGGAGTAGAAAATGTTGCCAGAGGGGCACAACAGGTTCCCCCCAAAGGGCAGCAGCAGGAAGGAGCTGAGCACAGCAGCCAGACCCAAGCGAGGCACACTGGGATGAATACAAACTTTGTAGATCTGCACCTGAACTTCAGTATGCGCTAAGGTTATATCTACAAATTAAAACCACATTGAGATATCATCTCACCCCAGAAAGAATGGCTATCATAAAGAAATCATCCAACAACAAATGTTGGAGAGACTATGGGGGAAAAGGAACCCTTCTCCACTGCTGGTGGGAGTGTAGACTGGTGCAACCATTATGAAAATCAGTATGGAGACTCCTTAGAAAAGTTGGACTGGAAATTCCATTTAAACCAGCTATTCCCCTACTGGGAATTTTCCCGGAGGATCTGAAAACATCATATCATAGTGATATATGTGTGCCTACGTTTATAGCAGCACAACTTGTGATAGCCAAATCTTGGAAACAACCAAGGTGCCCATCACCTGAGGAATGGTTGAAAAAGATGTGATATTTTTACACAATGGAGTATTATTCAGCTATTAAGAATGATAAACTCGAAGCCTTTATATTGAAGTGGATGCCACTTGAACATATACTTATAAGTGAAATAAACCAGCACACATGTGTAAATATCGGATAGTTTCCCTAATATAAGAAATCAAAAGAAGAAATACAAATAGAAAGGTATAATACAAGTAAAAGGAAAGCAGGATCTCAAGGACTAACTAATCAAGAGAGGGAAAGGAGAAGAGTTAGGAAACATGAATAAGTCAAACCATACAGTTGTATGTAGAAGATGGGTAAGGCAATGATCCTGAGAATCTTCAGCAGATTTTTTAATCTAGCAGTTATTTGGAAAGATTCTCACCCTGACTAACTATATATACAAATATCTGTGAACTAAGCTACTGTACTGCAGATGCTAATTTGTAATAGTAGTTTCATGCTTGGAGTGCCTGTCATTCTGGTCAACTGAATATGGGCTGCTTGTCATGACATGCCAGTTGTTGCTATGACGTCACTCAGGTAGATGGTTGTTCAAGAAGAAGGGGATGGTGGAAGGAAAGTAAGAGACAGGAAAAGGAATATTGTGGGACTGTCCTGCTTCAAGGTTGTATATGGTGAGCTTTTTGGACTTATGTGCAAACATGAGAAGTATGTAATTCTTTATGCCTATTTTTAAAATATATTCTAATTTTTAAATGTTTTTTAACATATTCTGTAGGGACTTAAAGTTCAGCATATCAATACTTGATGAAAAATACCTGTTTCATATTATGCCTAAGATGTTTGATATGCAGACAGATAGTGAGGTTAAGCTTAACTAACAGCCTAAGTTATTCGATAATAACAACAAGCTTGTCTTCTGGATGGTTAACAACCTAAATTTGCAGACCAAAATTAGAGAAAACGGAGGGCTGAGAGAAAAGCCATCATTTTGGCCCTAGCCTTCTAAGGTCAATTAAGACTCAGGACATGTGAGAACTTGTACTGTAATGTCATGTAACTCAGTAGTGTCCCAAATTTTCTGATCAAGGAGATTATGGAGCCAAAGAGGAAAGGGATTGATGATGTAGAGTGTGCCTAAGGAGAGTCACATGGAGAGGAAACATTCTCTCAGGCTTTCACAGAGAGCACATTGGCCGAGCAATGGCTGTGACTAATCCACATGGCTGACACTGACAGAGGTTCTACAATCTGAGGTACAGGATCTCAGAATAAATCCTGAGGAGATTTCACTGACCTTTTCAGACCCAAAAGCTACAACTCTTGTTGCATAGGTCCTGCTTTACCTTTGTCTTAACCATCCAGCAGAAAAGTCTAGAAATGAAATATAAGAAGGAAAGCCATGCTGTTATGTTGAGCTGTAGAGGACTCAGGTCAACAATTTTTTACATTGCCAGTCAAGCAGAAGACCCAATACTATTATGGGCTACTGGACTCTTTTAGAATATTTTGCTGATTTTACACACCTATAATATTCAAATAATGGAACTTAACAAAAAAACCATATACAGATGAATGTCCATTTTGTATCTGTGTATTCAAAGCGGTTAGGATAGATATATGGTTACATTCTCTTAATGAATAGAGTGATTTGTTCTAATGGTGTTTGTAAATAGGATAGCATGTCCACATCTTGTACAGCAATTATCCACTAGGAAGATTGTATGCAATGTGTTAATTATTGAAACTGTCCTACCAATTTGATTTGAAAAAAAAAAAAAGGTGAGACAAACAAGAAGTTATCTGTAAAATACTTTGTGTTTGTACTTTACATGTGTACTGTGTTAAACTCTATGAAGTAATTATAAAGTCCTGCTTTTTAAAATCTGATTGTCATTCCCTCAAATTGTGAAGTATAATGTGTTGTTGGTACAGTAATATAGCAACTACATCAAGGACTGCAATTTGTAATACAAAAGCCATACTTGAATGCCTATCATCTTGGTCTTCTAATTGTGTACCATTTCTCAATTAATGCCATATTCTCTTTAACATAAATTTTAAAAAAGATAAGAAAAACAAAGATAAGAACAAAGATTTAAGGCTTCCTGAAAGCAAGTGGTAGTATTCAATCATATGTTGAATCTTACATAACTATATCTGTTAAGCTGAGCAACAGATTTGATGACAAAAGATATGTAATATATTAACCATTGGTAACCAGCTATTATTGTTTTGAAAATCTGCAACATATGTATTGTAGAATGTTACCCCGTTTCTCTCTTTGTTTCTAATTTTTGTTCTTGCTTTTGTTACTACTTTAAAAGAAAAGAAAAGAAAAAATTTTTAAAAAATAAAAATAAACACCTAGAACAGGGTCCAGTAATTTTAAGTGCTGTGTATTCATTATATTCAAGTCATTCTCAACCCCCTCCAAAAGCATTCTGACAGTCATATACCTTCAAGTTGCAGACTTTCCCTACCAGTGTAGAACCCATAAAACTATGTGAAATTGAGGAGACATCCTCTTCTGGTCGTTAGTTCTATTTTTCTATTAAAATTCCAAAGTCATTTTGTTATGCACTTTGTGTTATCAGAAGACCCACTTCTTTATAGAAAAACTATAATCCCTATACATATTTTATTACAGCTTATTCTGTTAAAAAGTATC